ATTGTTGGATTACATGCTGCATTCAAGTACCATGATAGAAGGGGTTTGAGAAACTTGTATAGCTTTCATTCATGGATAGGCATTGGCACCTTCTGCCTCTACATTTTACAGGTACTTATCCCGTCTCAGATAATCTGTCGTGTTTCTCTTTTACACATCTCATAAAAAAATAATAGTTAAAAGGGATTTTGACTATTTTACCCTCATTTTACGTCTTAAGATATACATATATCAGTCAAAAATGTATCTGAACTATTGTTTTTTCACGAGCTTCACATCCCAACTATCAATTGTTCCTTTTTCTAGTTGAAATATATATCATCATCTATGTATTAAAACATACCTCAATCAGTCGGTTAAAAAAAATTCTATCCACCTAGCCGTCGCCCGTCGACAATGTATACTCAATATATAATCAATATGTAATGTATACGTGTTGATTATACAAGCAAACATCTCTATAATAACATCACTTGTTCTCATATATTTTACTGGCATAGTGAAATGTTGTTATAGAGAACATATAATATAACATAACATGAAATATCGATTCCACAAAATTATGGTTGTTATAGTGAAATATTGATTACTCTTTCAAACTTCTTTGAAATGCTTTATAACTTAAGCGGAGGGTCTATTGGACACAACGTAATTTCTTTACCTCTATAAGGTAAAGATACGATCTATGTATACTCTACTCAAACCTCACTTGTAAAATTACACCAAGTATGCTTGTAATCCCGGCCCCCATTGTTCATTAATTTTAATTGTCTTCTAATTATGATTCTTAATTTTTTCAGTGGGTGATTGGACTATGTATGTACATGTTACCATACACAAGAAGAGAAACAAGAGCAGTAAATTTACCATGGCACATATCTGGTGGTAGAGCAATATTCTACATGATAATTGTTACAGCATTGACTGGATTAATGCAAAAATCAACATTTTTGCAACTTCCATTATTTTCTGGAGAATCAATTTTGATTAATTTCCTTGCAATTTTCATCCTACTTTTTGGTGTTACTGTTGATTTTTCTGTTTCTCTTGGACGTTATGCATGATAATTATTTGTTAAACATAGTTAAATTTCATATTATCAATCAATTAATAAGTACTTTTATACTCTAGAGGAGTGATGTATTGATGGGGTGATGTTCTTTGTATAATTTGTTTTTTTTTTGGGGGGGTTTGTTTTGCTTTTGAATTGTGTAAATTGTAATTGAAGTTTGTTTTTAATGAAGTGTTTGTTTTTATTTCAATTTTTTGCCTATGTAATTCTTCATAAGTTGAGTGTCTATCAGAATTAGTAGTCTCTATATATACCTCTCAAGGTAGGGATACGATTTACGTATATTTTATCCTCTTTAGATTCAGTTTGTGGTACTACACTGAATCAGATGTATCTCAGAAAGTCATGATCTTTCTTCTTGATTCTAATTTTTTTTAACGAAGAATACGACTTTCTAAGATAATAACTATTAGTTGACTAACAATCTGATAAATTAACCTCAAATGAAGTATAGAGTTATTTATTAATAATATGAACGACTTTTTTCGTGAGGTAATTAACCATGGTTACGTTGCACGACCACGCCATAGCTCCAATATGTATTACTAATCATTTGTTCGGTACACTGTTTCAATCTTCGTGTAACTAATGTTTGCATTAATACACTCAATTATGCATTGAAGAGTGTATTAGTAGTACTATGTATTTCTATGCATCAATAATGCAATGGGTTCTAATGCATGCTACTGCATGATTAAAGACACAATTATCCCTCAAAAACTTGTCCACAATCTCTCCACTATATTTGTGGAGGGTATTTTTGTAAACAAATATTTTTAAAAAAAATTATGCAATCGGTGATATTTTTAGTACATCAAACCAAACACTACATAAGAAAAATCTTAGCATAACTAATACAAATATAACTAATATAAACATTATTAATACACTATATATTTTTATTCGTATACATTCTAGCAATGAACCCTAAATTCATTGCACCCATGGTACAAGACCGTCTTAACCACTAAGCCTCTAAAGTCATCGCTTGGGGTCCCATATTTTCGGGGCCCCCAATTTAAAAAAAAAATACTTATACATATTACTTAAAATTATATGTATTTTTAAATTAAAAAAAAACATGTAAGAAGTATAAAAAAAATAACTGTTAGTATTCCCCACTTTTCTAAGGGAATGAAACATTTTTTGAAAATAATTCCCTTAAGTGGGAAATTGTGTTTCCTTATTTATCTCCTAAAAATTTGACCTTATATTATTATTTACCTTATACTCATCTTTTTATTCTCTATTTTATTATTTTTATTCTCAATATTGAACTCTCTCCTAAAAAAAATGATTTATTATTGCTTACAAGTTAAAAAAGAACAAAATTTTCTTTTGAGTGTCTTCTTCAAAATCTTAAGAAGTGCAACAAGCAATCATTATATTGAAGGAACCCAACACTATTTCAATATTGTTATATCAACTTATCAAATTCATGAGCCAGGTTTTATTATTCTTACTTTATTTTATAATTTTTCTTGAACTTTTGTTACTGTTGATATTCTTAGTTAGTAAGTATATATATTCTCGTTTTAGTTATTATTAAGAGAAATAATACAAGTAGAAGATAATGGTTTAATGGAAATACTCAATCACTTGAATAAAATAATGTTGAACAATTCTTGTAACTATTGTCCCGGCTGAAAGAAGTTTTTCGAATCTAAAATTGATAAAATCTTATCTAAGATCAACAATGTGAGATTGATGCATTAGCTATATTATCAATTGAAAAGGAATTACTAAAACAAATTGATTAGAAAACAATTAATGACTTCACATCTAAAAATGCTAGAAAATAGATTTTAAATAAATATATACATGATTTTTTATTTTTTTTATTTTGAAAAAAAAATAAAAAAAATATTAGGACCCCTCTTTAAGGTTTGACTTTAGGCTCCCAATCTTGTTGAGTCGACCCTGCCATGGTAGAATTGTCTTATAAAAGCTTACATCACAATTCACAACTAATTACTCTAAGTATATTTAATGGATTATTTTAAATCTACCCCAAATATAAGGAAAACTTTATTGTCATTTTCTCTTGAATATTTCCACAGTAACAAATTAATCACTCAAGTAAGGCATCCAAAACATTGAAGAAGAAAGTGAATCAAAAAATGACAAGTAGTCACCATTTATCAATGTGTGCCCACCTTAGTTCAACGTCTACAATCTTTTTGGTAAAATAATGCCAAAACCATATGATTATTTTATAAAAAATGAAATAATTGTCACTTGTCATGAATTTACGTGACTATCTAAGTAAGAGAAAAAGGAAGTCCAAGTGGCCTTGAAATAAACATAACAAGTGGATTATTATATTATATAATATATATAGTGTTTACTAAAAGTTAATTATCTACTTAACCAAAACCACAAATATTGGGTTAAAGAGCTCCACGTTGTAACTATATTAGACTTTGTGATCATTCTTTTTTATTCATCCAACTTCATCATCTTTAATAAAAAAAAAATTGAGTTCGAATTATGAAACAAAAAAATCTTGACAAAAAGTATTGGATGAGTCATCAAAAAATTTGTGTGAATAATATTATTTCACATTATATTGGTCCAGTTTTATTTAGTACATACTTCTTTGATTAAGACCTTATTATGAAGCATAAAAAGGGGTTAACATGTAACAATCAAAAATCCAATAAGGGGTCCATAATTTGGTTCCATCTTTGAAAATTTGACCCTTATTGAGTCTTTTTTAAAATAATTATTATTATATCTAATCCCAATATCTTATATTGTTTTATTTAAATAATATTAAACAGACTTATCTCTTTACTTGATGGAGAGTTTTTGATTAACGATAAAATTATTTTTGTGTGATTCATAAAATTTTCGTTATTTACATCACACATATTGAGGTGCGACCTTTCCTCAAACCCTGCATGAACAAGGAATGTTTTATACACGGATTGTCCATATCTCTTCTTTACTCCCTTTATTGGAAAAGTCTCGAAATTACAAACAATTCGATCATTATTCAATTAAGGGCCCCGTTAATTAAGATGAGAGTCAATACAAAGCTAACAAGTTAAGCTTTCTTAAACAGAAATCCTAATCTAAATACTTCCCGATCAATTGATATTGTTTAAATAATCAACTTCACAAAAAAGCATTTTTTTTATGTTTAACAAATTCTAAAATATATTCAACATAAAACATAATGACAGATCTAGACATTGTTATAAACTACAAATTCTCTACGTAACGTAAGCATATTAAATTCCTCTTTCACTTTGTCAACCACAAGTCTATGATAAATCTAGACACGAGGTTTCAAATTTAAATATAATTACTAAGGAAAAAAAAAATACTAAATAATTTCTTCTCATATGAACAAGTCCTAATAAACAAAGTTACTGGATGAAAAATAATAAATATCTCATAAAATTTGCCCAAAGATGCGCAAATTAATTTGAACATCATAATTGCATATATTAAAAAATAATAACAGTTAATCTAAAAGACACATATTAAGTATTCAAGTCTTTAACCAAAATTTTCACTCAAGTTCTACCAAACGTAAGTGTGGTTTAATAGGTTATACCTAAATATTTAAGGTCATTGTCTCACATTAACTATAGGCATTTAACTCTATTAATGTGTTTTAGTGTATATATAAAGATTAAATTAAATGTTCTGTTCCCTCCAATTCATTTCATATGCATGTGAGATATTGTCTAACTAGTGATAAAAAATAAAAATAAAAATAAAAAACATTAGAAAACATATCTCGCTGATTGTGTATTGAAGTCATTATTTTTTATGCGGTTAACCGTTGTTAAAATCACAATATATCACGCTCTCTTGTTAATGAATTATCCCTTTTGGTTAAAAAAAAAAAAGAGTGACCCTTTATACATTATGGAGGGAAAAAGTAGTTATTTTGATTCCGAACTCCAAATATCTTATTAGTATTATATATTAAACTTGGCAATAAGCAAGCAACCACTTTGGAACTCTTCTTTATTTGCCTATTTATCCTTTAGCCCTTTTCAAAACTATCCCATTTACACTTCTTCTTCCTTCTTTATCTTGTTCTTGTATCCTTCTTGTGTTGAATAAAATAATTGAAAGAATTAGTAAAAAAAAATCTTTTTAAAATGCCAAACAAGATTAGTAGTTCAAGCTACAAAGTGAAATCTCCAATGGCAATAACAATATTTGGACACTTGTTGTTCATAGCTATAACAACACTTGTGTTAGTTTGGCTTTTGCACTTTAGAGAAGGCCTTGCTTTCTCTTCATCCAATAAGCCCAAGATTTTCAATGTAAGTTTCTCATAGAACTAGTATTTACTGGTCACTTTTATATCATATCTTCGAGAAATATCTACGGTCTTAAAATTTGATCTACAATTTCAAATTTCAGAACTGAAACTTCAAGAGAGCTTTATTTGTAGAATTTGAAATTTCAAGACAACGGTTATTTTTTGTTGTAACTATTTTTTTAGAAACTATAGTGTCAGCTGACCACTTTTCAACTCTATTTTCAAAAAATATTCTTTGTCTAGGATATTAGTTATTTCTCAAAAGTAGTTTGTGGGAATTTTTTTTAATTTCTATATTTTATTTTTTATATGTTTAATTTCTCTTGTACTAATTATTTGGGTATTTTGGTACTTGCAGATTCATCCATTGCTTATGGTTATTGGATTTGTCTTAATGGCTGGAGAAGGTAGGATATTTTTTTCTGACATTACCAAAAATCTGTTTTATAAAAAAAATATTTTTTTAATTCTAGTATTATATTTGGTTTTTCAATTATCTTTGCTTTAGACACTTTCCTTTTTTTCTCGAAATTTCAATATTGCTTCTTCACTTTATATTTTCAAATTTGATTTTGAAAACTTTTTTTTTTTTGAGTTGAGAGTTAATCGAAAACCTCACATCTCATACAAGATGGAGGTAAAGTCCGTATGTATATACACTATACTTCCCAGATCACACTGAATATATTGTGGTCGTTGTTTACTTCTACTTTATATTCCAATCAACGGTCTCTTACTAGGTGATATTGATGAGGGTCGGACCTTTTTTTATTTATTTACTTGTTTGTTTGTTTCTCTTACTATATTATGAATTAACAATCTAAAATTTTGGATTTTTTTGAACAGCAATAATGGCATACACAACAACTCCAACATCAAGGAAAAATCATAAATTATTTCACATGATTCTTCATTTGATAGCTCTTTTGACTGGAATTATTGGAGTAATTGCAGTTTTCAAATTTCACAATGAATCTGGAATTCCTCATATGTATACATTTCACTCTTGGATTGGTCTTTCCACCATCATTCTCTTTGGTTTGCAGGTAAAATCAGTACGTCTCAATTTACGTGGCACAGTTTGAATTTTGATTCAATCTTTTAATTTTGACAACTACATAGAACATACTATAAGTCATAATACTTACAAGACGTAAAAAAAATATACAATCAGAAAGACTCATTTGAATCTCAAAATTCAGATACCATGACGATTTTTTTTGTTGTTTTTGCTAGTGGATATTGTCCTTTTTGACCTTCTTATACCCCCGGGCACGATCATCGACAAGGTCAAGGGTTGCACCATGGCATGCCCTAATTGGGATCACCATATTTTTCATGGCAATAGTAGCTGCAGAGACAGGCTTGGTGCAAAAATTCATATTTTTGGGCCTTACAAGGAACCAAGAAGGACTTATAGTTAATTTCATTGGCCTTTTGATCCTCCTCTTTGGAATTTCGGTTGGTGTCACTGTTCTCGTGTAAAATTCACAAATAATCACTTTTCAGTCTATGTAATTGAAAATCATAGTCGTTAATATGGATCTTCACTGAAACTCTACGATAATGACTATTTAAAAACGACAAAAAATGAGATGATGTGGTTATTAGTCAAATATTTAAATTTGTTGTAAATATTTTTTTGTATGTTGCTTCGTGTGTTATAAAGAATTACTTGGTTTTTGTATGGGTGGTTTGGTTTTGTATATATTTTTTTTCACTTACATATTTTTTTTTCTTGTATTTAAAACGGCTATGTAAATAGACTATTTTGTTTCTCTTTTAGTTGATTGTGTCAAGTGTATGACTATGACCTTTCTTTCGTAGTTTTGATTGATTGGATATTTTCATCACGCAAGTAGAGTGTATGCAAACCTTACCTTTACCTCAGAATTGAGGTAGAAGGTTGTTTTTTATAGAGATAGACCCTCGGCTCAAAACAAAAACAGACTAAAAAACACGTAATGGAAGTACAAGAGACAACACGTAGTAAACAAAACAACAAATAGTACTTAGCAGAATAGTACTACAACCAAACAATATTACCATCGAACTACATGAAACAACATATCAACAAAATCGAAGAACAAGAAACTACGAGCACATCACTCTAACTACTAGTAAGTAGTAAGGGCACCTTCTTATTCAATACACTATCCCACCTAAAATAATATATAGATTCCAGCATATCTTATACAAGGTTAGTAATAACGCACGGGTTATTACTAATCCTCACACTCTTATTTCATATACTATCCCGCAAATAAAATAATATATAGATTCCAGCATACCTTATACAGGTATTTATGCAGAAAAGGAAACTAAAACCAAATATTGTATTGAATAATGTTTAGTTTCATATGGAAAAAAACAAATGAACCAAACATTATAACTTAAAGGTATTCCAAAGACTTATAATATTTCACCAACCATTTACTATTAGAAAACTTGCAACAAGGAAACTAAGTAACTGTCACAATTACTGGAGAAACTGGCAAGGAAGAGATTATGCTATACCAATAGCTGTTTGGCGGCTTCCATTCTGTTTAATAAGCCTGCAACTTCTCTATCCAATCTCATCTTCATCTCACAATAATCGGAATGAGCGTTCTCCAAGGTCTTAAGATCTTCCATTTTTTTCCTTCTCCTTTCCTCCGTTTCTTGCAAACACAATTTGGAGAGTTTTTCATAATACACTTCGTTCAGTTTCATACTCTCCAGCCGAGCCAACTGCCTTAAACTCACTGCCTCTCCTCGTGCATCAGCTGCATGACTCTGAAACATTTGTGCCTCTGCTTCTTTGATGCGTACAATGCTTCCCAAGCTATCAACCTCATCTTTCTTTGATCGTTTCACTGGCCATTCATCTTCAATTGTTTTGATAGCTGTGAAAGAAGTGTTAAAATCATTTGGACAAGGATCAACATGCCTCATATCTTTTTGTCCGCTTGAAAAGCTCATGTCATAGAATGAGGACTTGGGAATAAGGGAGGTAGAGATAGAAAGATCAACAACTACATGCTTTCCAACAATAGTTACATTACCAAAGTCTGGCAATCCGTTGTTGCTTGTTAATTAAAGAAAATATAACTTGGAAAAGAAATGGCATGTTTTGTGTCAATGAAACATGTACTGGACGCTAAGGAACTAAGGAAAACTGGGAAAAGTGTTTTCGTTGATAATCTCTAATTCTTCTAAATTCATGAGGTTAAAGAAGAGCAATACTTGAAAATAGAAAAAATTCATAGGCATACAAGTAGGAAAATAGAACATTCATAACAAATTGCAACTAGGAAATAAATCATTCTTGAAGTACAAAACCATGAACAATTTAATAAACTTGCCCATTGCTAAGTGTCCCATACCGGTTGTGGGATGTGGAATTGGTTTTTTTGTATGGTCTTACACAATGCTCAACTCATCCGCTAGCTTTCAGGGTTGAGTTTAGTCCAAGATCCATATTTCCTTATCATGGCATTAGAGTCAAGCTCATCTAAACTCTTGGTTTACCCAGTGTTAGGTCCCCAATTATGTTGTCCACGTTCCAGTTGGCAGATTGGGGGAAAGATATGTGTCCCACATTGATTGTGTAATGTGGAATTGATCTGCTTATATGATATCAGATAATTCTCACCTCATGAGCTAGCTTCTAGGGTTAGGCAAGCGAAGGTCCATTTATTATCATCCATAGATTGTAGATTTCTAGAAATTGTAGGCGAGCTAATTGTGGTTATCTAAACACATGGCTAATTGTATATATACCAACATAACCATTTCAAATGGAAGTAATATTACGATTAAGGTAGCTACTATTTCTAACTTCATATTCCCTTTCGTGGTTTGGGCACCAAAAATCAGAAATAAGAATGAGTATAACATAAGGAAAACCAGAAATTGAAAAATAGAAACTTGTTCTTATGCTAATAAAGATAAAATGAATTGGTTTGTATACTTACTGCTGAATAACTGAAATATAAAATCGCAGGCGTCTGAAGGGGAAATCATCTTCATAGCTAGCTTTGTATGCAAGACATCTGCCTTAACATGCAACTCCTTGCCTTTAAAATCTTCACTCCCTTGGAAGATTTTCCGAACATAATCAAGCTCTTTCATCAGGGTCTCCTCACCCCATTCATTTGCAGAAGACATGAACACGTCCTTAATGAAGCCAAACATTTCCGAGGCATGACCACATCCCAGACAGTAAAATTGCATCTCGGTTGTCCCGGAGGGTCCTTTGAGACTTGGACCTGGCTTTATAAGATTTTGACGAATACCACAAACAGCATGACACCAATGCAAGCATGCATCACACCCTACCCAACTGCAAGTATTATTGGCACAGTCGAATTTCAGACACACAAGACACATGCATTCGCTGCAGAATCCCTTCTTCGTTGAACAAATCTTGCAACCGCGATCCTCAATAGGCAAAAGCCTCCTGCAATTAATGTTTCGACACCTTTCAAGTAAGAAAATTTCAACCAATTCTGATGTTAGAAGGCGGGTGTTTTTCGATAAGAAGCTTCCAAGACCTGTTCTTATTGAAACCAAAAATTCTAGTTGGATCTTATGGCAGTTCAAGAGAGTCCGATTGGTAAGATCAGATCTCTCATCGAGTCTGTTTTGAAGACTAATGAACTCATATATCCTTTCCGGCATTGTTATTAGGTTACTCAAGTATTCTTTTGTTGATTCAACTGTTTCGTCATCAAGCTGTTGCACAATCTGAGCCATAAGAGGAATAGGCTCTGACACTATTCTTCTAAGTAATTTCTGTTGCCTAGAAACCTCGTATGCTTTTCCTCCATCCCTTTTCTCCAAAAGTTTCAAATATCCCGAGCCTCTTTTCCTCGAATCCCTTGACTGACCGTCAACAACTCTAGGCCTTGCAGACAAGTCGGATAGGAAAATTGAATTGTTATCCGAGCTTGTAGTCCTATGAATACGATCACTACATGTTTCCTTATTGACCACTCGACTGTCAAACCATGTTCCACCAACATGGTTTGACAATGCAACACCACCGTCACCAATTGGCCTAAACCTGCTATGAACTGATCGAATAGTTCCTTTTCCGCAATTCTCTTGCCTAGCAAGCTTATGTGCATTTCCTCCATAACGTTTCAAATATCCCGAACCTCTTCCTCTCAAAGCATCTGACTGACCACTAACCATTATATCTAGAAGAATAAAAATTGCAGAGAGGTTAAAAAACTGACAGATTGGAAGGAAGAACTTCAGAAATTTGTCCTCTGAATTTCTCTCTGGGTAAAAATATTTTCACACCTTTTTTATACTAAAGCAAAATCCTATCTGTCTTTACAGATAGACACTAGCAAAATGACAAAAATGGTTTGTTATGTCTGAGGATAATTTCAAAGTAGTTTGTTAGATGGAATCTGATAGTGATTATTTTCTCCAGAGATTTTTTATTTTGAGTATCTATTTTTTTGTTCATTCTTTCCCTCTATTTTCCCTCAATTATCTCATGCAAAATACTCTAAGAAATCAGTAACATGTTTAGCGCGTTGAAGTCCAGAACTTAAATTATCATTGGGTTTTAAATAAAATCGTGTATATCAGCAATCAACACAACAATATGTGCTACTACCGTAAAGATATGGCATTTGGGTCTAACTCAACCCCAAAAGCTATCTCATGACGGGAGGTTTGTCCAAGTCCATATAAGGAGATCAATTTCCCATCCATTCCCCGATGTGGGACTTCTTAAAGCCTACAGCTCAATGAGAAGTCTCATTCTATCGATTTCACATCGATTCATTGGCATTTTCTAGTCTCACATATACTAGTTGTAGTCTCTGAACAATGGTCACTATACTGGTGAAGACGATCCTGTTCTATGTAATCTTGACATAAAGGACTCGCAAATGACACAATTGCACAACTTAATCAAGATTGTCAATACAGTCTCGTGTCAATAATTCAAAATTATGTAAATTTGTTTAGATTGGACACTGTAAAATTACTATTGTCAAACGAGAAAAGAAGAAGATTGCTAACCTTAATATCATGGACAAGTTGATGATTTGCATATATGAGGTAATTACTGTATAGCTACCATGCTGAAACCGATTATTCCACCAACGTGGGACTAATATGTCAGTGGTATTGAGAATGTCAGGCCCAAACATGTTTCTTAACACTTCCATTGCTTCTCTTAATGTGTCTCTTGATCAGATAGCTTCAACACGTTTCGACTCACCATTTGTCAAGGTTACCACCACCATATCGGAGCACAGGTAAGCATTTTTCATGTGCTGATGACATGAACACAGATCAACATCAAAAGACAGCTAAAAGCAGTTCTTGAGCACATAATGATGACTAGATGATGCATGGGAAAAATAGAAGTCTGAAGTTTATGCAAGTGTACTGTTGTATTCTCTTAATAAGACGTCTTAAGATACGTAATTGGTAGTCAACTTATATTGGCAGCTCCAAGAGAGGGGTTGTAGCATGAGGCATTCGTAAAAAAAGTAGCATTTTTTTATATGTGTGTGTGCAGAAGCCAAAATTATGCTCAGTTGAGTCATGAGTGTACAATTGTATAACCAAGAAAATTTCGCCGTGCCAAATCAGTAGATCTACACGAGTCTAGCATTATACTAATGTTCACATAAGAAAGTGGTACTCAGGAATAACATAGTGCATCAGAAGGACCGACCACCGACGTCATTTTTAAACTCACCAAGAACCTCTGAGGTTAGTTACTGGAATATATATAAACTCAAGGATATCAAGACCAGAAGCCTCACCTACTCTGCTAATAAGAAGAAAAATATGAGGTAACTGACTCTAATCGTACAGATAAACCTTTTTTTACCTATAGCAAGTTGATTCCTCCTGTAGACATCTCAAGAATGTGACCTTTCTAATATATGCAAGTATAACTGTGTAATTTGTCACTACAACTCTTTCCTGACAGATTATCTCAGTTATTGATCTCTCCTTGAAGCACAAAACCAATTTCCAAAAGAATATATCTTGAGCTAGCTTCTAAGCATATGAAAGTCCTACTTCCTCCCTCCTTACGAGACAAATGATTTATGTAGTAGCGTGCCCCGGCATGAATCCGATCTGGTTCTCGAAAATAGCCACATCCCTCCTCACCCTCATCTCCACCACTCTCTACCACGCATTCATAGTGTGGTTTAACAGCTTGTTACCCCTATAGTTGTAAAAATTCTAAAAGTCACCCTTGTTCTTGAACAACGGAATCATTGTACTCCATGCATCGGGCACCCTCGCCGTCTTGAAAACAACTTAGACAGCCGCACCATACCTACCCAGCCTGTGCTCTTCCAAAATTCCACTGGGATCTCGTCGGCCCGATCGTTCTAGCCATACGCATCCTACGAAAAGCACCCTCCTCAACATTTATACACCTACAATACCAACAATTGTGATGCTTCTCTGAGTGCTCCAAATCCCCAGCACAATGTCTATGTCCCTCTCTTCGTTCAAGAGTTTATAGAAGTATGACTACAAGAAGAATGAAAAACATTCAGCATGCTTATAAGTAGGAAAATAGAACATATATGCAAAATACAACTAGGATATAAATCATTCTAACAAATACAAACACCATGAACAATTTAATTAACTTGCCCATAGACTATAGGCTTCTTGAAGACTATAAACACCCGAATAATTATTTAACGAAGAGAAATTATATCTTAAGACATAGATGAGAATAAAATAGTAAAAATAAAAACCTTTTAATTAATGATTTCTTAAAGGGAAGGTAAAAGAGACATACCACAGATAATTTTGAGATGGAGGAAGTATTATAAAAATTACCCCATAATAGGAAACAAGATTTGACAATTTTGTAAAAAAAATGGATCCTGGGAAAAACTTAACCCCAAAAGCTAGCTGATGGTGCAAGACCCTTTAAGTAAACCAATTATACATCCCTCAACCGGTGTGGGACACTTAGCAATGGGCAAATTTATTCAATTGTACATGGTATTGTACTTACAGAAGGAATTATTTCCCAGTTGCAATTTGTGTTTAATGTTCTATTTTCCTACTTATAAGCGTATTGAATTTTTTCAATTTTCAATTATTGCTCTTCTTTAACCTCTATGAATTAAGAAGAATTAGAGAGTATCAGCGGAAACACTTTTCCCACCTTAGTTCTTCAGCGTCCACTTCATGTTTCATTGACACAAAACATGTCATTTCTTTACTAATTTATATTTTCTTTAATTAACTGGCAGCGACGGACTGTCAGACTTTAGTAATCCAACTAGTCTTGGAAAACATGCAGTTACTGATCTTACTGCATCGACCTCCCTTATTCCCAAATCCAAATTCTATGACACAAGCTCTTCAAGCGAACAAAAAGATATGAGACCTGTTGATCCTTGTCCAAATAATATTAACACTTCTTTCACAACTATGAAAACGTTGAAGATCAATGGTCAGTGAAACGATCGAAGAAAGATGAGGCCAATAGCTTTGGAAGCATTGTACACATCAAAGAAGCAGAGACACGAATGTTTCAGAGTTGTGCAGATGATGCACGAGGAGAGGCAGTGAGTTTAAAGTGGTTGGCTTGGCGGGAGAGTAAGAAACTGAACAAAGCGTATTATGAAAAACTCTCCAAATTGTGCTTGCAAGAACCAGAGGAAAGGAGGAGCAATTAAGACCTTTTGAGAATGCTCATTTCGATTATAATTATATGTAAATGAGAACAGATATGGAGATAGCAGGCTTATTAAACAGAATGGAAGCAGCTAAACAACTACTGGTATAGCCTAATCACTTCCTTGCTAGAAACTATATATTATTTTATGTGGGATAGTGTATTGAATAAGAATGCGGGGATAAGTTGTTCAGAATCAGAATCAGAAATGTAATCACTAATATATATATGCATCTAATGCACAGATATTTTGATCAGAATCAGAATCTAAGTTTCTCTAAGCTTCTTTATGTGATATATTTTCTTTTTTAGTCTATACCAAAAGAAGGAAATTTTTCTACGTTTAGAAATCTAACTTTTAAACTTTTTATTTTATCCTTAATGAGATAATTTATAGTCATACAAATATTTATGGTTTGTTTTAGACCACAAATTTCAAAAGTATTTTTTCTTTCTTAAACTTCGTCTGAGTCAAGGTCGGAGCTAGCATGGGAAATACAGGCTCGACAAAACTTAATAACTTCGGTCCAATCCTAATATATTTGTTGAAAAAATCACTAAATATGTATATATAATATACTCCAGAACCTATCAAATTTTGAATCCGTCTCCGATCTCAGTTAAAGTGCATTACATAAATTGGGACGGAATAAGTAATATTTTGGGAAAACATACATGTAACTCTAAAAACTCCTACAAAATGTGGCAGTGTTAGATAGTAAGTTCAATACTTCTGAACATCAAGACTCCAACTGTGCCAAAGGTAATATAGCATATGGTTTTCCAAATCCCAAAGTGAACATCAACACAAATTTCATAACAATAAACCACTGAGCTAAAAAGGAAATAGTCAACTATTTGAAGGATCACTTGGTTTAGAAGCAAGTTATGCGAGGATTAGTAAAGCACAGGTTATTACTAATCCTCATATTCTTATTCAATATACTATCCTACATAAAATAATATATAGATTTCATCGTACCTTATACAAGATTAGTAATTACGCCCGATTTATTATTAATCCTCGCATTCTTATTCCATACACTATCCTGCATATAAAATAATAAATAGATTCCAGCATACCTTATACATGTATTAGTCATGCGGAAAAGAAAACTAAAACCAAACATTGTATTGAATAATGCTAAGTTTTATATGGAAAAAACAAATGAACCAAACATTGTAACTTAAAGGTATTTCAAAGACTTATAATAGTTCACCAACCATTTACTATTAAATATTTGCAACAAGGAAACTAAGTAGCTATCACAATTACTAGAGAAACTGACAAGAGATTATGCTATACCAATAGCCGTTTGACGGCTTCCATTTTGTTTAATAAGCATGCAACCTCCGTATCCAATTTCATCTTCATCTCACAATAACAGGAATGAGAATTCTCCAAGGTTTTAAGCTCTTCCAATTTTTTCCTCCTCCTTTCCTCCGTTTCCTGCAAGCGCAATTTGGAGAGTTTTTCATAATACATTTCGTTCAGTTTCTTACTCTCCAGCCGAGCCAACCGCCTTAAACTCACTGCCTCTCCTCGTGCATCAGCTGCACGACTCTGAAACAGTTGTGCCTCTAATTCTTTGATGCGTACAATGCTTCCCAAGCCATCGACCTCATCTTTCTTCGATCGTTTCACTGACCGTTCATCTTCAATCGTTTTGATAGCTGTGAAAGAAGCGTTAAAATCATTTATAAAAGGATCAAAAGGCCTCATATCTTTTTGTCTGCTTGAAAAGTTCATGTCATAGAATGAGGAATTGGGAATAAGAAAAGTAGAGGCAGGAAAATCAGTAACTACAAGCTTTCCAAGAATAGCGATTACTTAAGTTTGGCAATTCGTTATTGCCTGTTAATTAAAGAAAAATATAATTAGTTAAGAAATGACACGTTTTGTGTCAATGAAACATGTAGTGGACGCTAAGGAACTAAGGGAGACTGGGAAAAGTGTTTCCGTTGAGAATCTCTAATTCTTTTAAATTCATAGAGGTTAAAGAAGCGCAATACTTGAAAATAGAAAAAATTCAGGCCTATAAGTAGGAAAATAGAACATTTATCACAAATTGCTACTAGGAAATAAATCATTCTTGAAGTAAAAAACCATGAACAATTTAATAAACTTGCCCATTGCTAAGTGTCCCATACCGATTGTGGGATGTGGAATTGGTTTCCTTGTATGGTCTTACACAATGCTCAACTTATCCGCTAGCTTTCAGGGTTGAGTTTTTCTCAAGATCCATATTTCCTTATTATGGCATTAGAGTCAAGCACATCCCAAACTCTAGGTTTACCCGGTGTTGGGTCCCCAATTATGTTGTCCACACTCCAGTTGGCAAGTTGGGGGAAGATATGTGCCCAGATCGATTGTGTAATGTGGAATTGGTCTTCTTATATGATATCAAATAATTCTAACCTCATGAGCTAGCTTCTAGGGTTAGGCTAGTAAAGGTCCATCTATTATCACCCATAGACTATAGATTTCTAGTAACTGTAAGCGAGCTACAAGGGGATTCAGTAATATTCAAGTTGACAAATGCAAGACAGAAGTCAGAGAATGACATCTCACTGCCCCTACTGTCAATTGTGGTTATCTAAACGCATGGTTAATTGTATATATACCAACACAACCATTTCAAACGGAATTAATATAACGATTTAGGTAGCAACTATTTCTAACTTAATATTCCCTTTCATGGTTTGTGCACCAAAAATAAAAAATAGGAATGAGTATAACATAAGGAAAACCAGAACATTGTAAAATAAAGACTTGTTCTTATGCAAATAAGATAAAATGAATTGGTTTGTATACTTACCGCTGAAAAACTGAAATATAAAATTGCAGGCGTCTGAAGGGGAAATCATCTTTGTAGCTAGCTTTGTATGCAAGACATCTGCCTTAACATGTAACTCCTTGCCTTTAAAATCTTCACTCCCTTGGAAGATTTTCCGAACATAATCAAGCTCTTTTATCAGGGTCTCCTCACCCCATTCATTCGCACAAGATATGAACACATCCTTAATGAAGCCAAACATTTCCGAGGCATGACCACATCCCAGACAGTAAAATTGCATCTCGGTTGTCCCAGAGGGTCCTTTGAGACTTGGACCTGGCTTTATAAGATTTCGACGAATACCACAAACAGCATGACACCAATGCAAGCATGCATCACACCCTACCCAACTGCAAGTATTATTGGCACAGTCGAATTTCAGACACACAAGACACATGCATTCGCTGCAGAATCCCTTCTTCGTTGAACAAATCTTGCAACCGCGATCCTCAATAGGCAAAATCCTCCTGCAATTAATGTTTCGACACCTTTCAAGTAAGAAAATTTCAACCAATTCTGATGTTAGAAGGTGGGTGTTTTCCAATAAGAAGCTTCCAAGACCTGTTCTTATTGAAACCAAAAATTCTAGTTGGATCTTATGGCAGTTCAAGAGAGTCTGATTGGTAAGATCAGATCTCTCATCAAGCCTGTTCTGAAGGCTAACAAACTCATATATCCCTTCCGGCATTGTTATTAGGTTCCTCAAGTATTCTTTTGTTGTGTCAACTGTTTCGTCATCAAGTTGTTGCATAATCTGAGCCATAAGAGGAATAGGCTCTGACACTATTCTTCTAAGTATTTTCTGTTGCCTAGAAAACTTATATGCTCCTCCTTCATCTCTTTTCTCCAAACGTTTCAAATATCCCGAGCCTCTTTTCCTCGAATCCCTTGACAGACCATCAACAACTCTAGGTCTCGCAGACAAGTTGGATAGGAAAATTGAATTGTTATTCGAGCTTGTAGTCCTATGAATACGATCACTACATGTTTCCTTATCGACCACTCGATTGTCAAACCATGTTCCACCAACATGGTTTGACAATGCAACACCACCGTCACCAATTGGCCTAAACCTGCTATGAACTGATCGAATAGTTCCTTTTCCGCAATTCTCTTGCCTAGTAAGCTTATGTGCATTTCCTCCATAACGTTTCAAATATCCCGAACCTCTTCCTCTCAAAGCATTTGACTGACCACTAACCATTATATCTAGAAGAATAAAAATTGCAGAGAGGTTAAAAAACTGACAGATTGGAAGGAAGAACTTCAGAAATTTGTCCTCTGAATTTTCTCTCTGGGTAAAAATATTTTCACACCTTTTTTATACTAAAGCATAAAAGTAAAATCCTATCTGTCTTTACAGATAGACACTAGCAAAATGACAAAAATGGTTTGTTATGTCTAAGGATAATTTCAAAGTAGTTTGTTAGATGTAATCTGATTGTGATTATTATTCATATTTTCTCTATTTTACTCAAAATCTCCTGCAAAATACTCTAAGAAATCATTAATAGTAAATCAAATAATTTCAAAAAGAGCACCAGCTCGGCTTATCATTAAGCTATCAATGGGTTTAAAATAAAATCACATAGATCAGCAATCAGAACAACAATATATGCCACAGCTCAATGAGAAATTGGAAAAAAGTTTATCAAAGAAATTCGATTCAATAACCTCTAGAAGATTTTGTTAAGAGTTCTAGACGCGATAAGTGCTTCCTTATGCGTAACTAGTTCCAAATATATTTTATCGTCTTCAACTTCATCATCAATATTATTTTCTCCAATGGTATCCACAATTTCTTCTAAGCTCTAGACCTCTAAACATGTATCATTTTTCACCTCGGATAATCTAAGAGGCTATTGACATCCATTTTACTGTGGTTTGTTTTAGAGCACAAATTTCAAAAGTATCAGAAAGTCACGCAAAAAACTATGGTTTGTTTTAGAGCACAAATTTCAAAAGTATTTCTTTCTTTCTTAAACTCCATCCGAGTCAAGGTCAGAGCTAGCTCGGGAAGTACGGATTTGAAAAAACCCAATAACTTCCATCCAAACCCTATATATTTTTTGAAAAAGTTCACTAAATATGTATATACAATAAACTCATAAACCTCAAATTTTGGATCTGTCTCTTTGGCCAAAGGCTATCTATGGCTGAACATCAAGACTCCAACTGTGCCAAAGATAAGATTCAGCCAAAGACTATCCATGGTTGTATCCAACAAGGCTCGGACAGAGAAATGCACAGTTACTTGAGAAATAGTCAAAGAAGGTTATACCAATGGCTGTTTGGCTGCTTCCTTTCTACTTAACAAGCCTGAAATCTCCATATGCAATTGCATTTTCATCTCGTTGTAATCGCAATGCAAATTCTCCAAAGTCTAGAGCTCTTCCAAAAAATTTCAACTCCTTTTCTCAGTTTCCAGCAAGCTCAGTTTGGAGGGTCATTCGGAATACTCTTCTTCCAGTATCTCGCTCTTCGGCCTAGTCAGACGCCTCAAACTCCCTACCTCTCCTAGTGCATCATTTGCAAGACTCTGAATCATTCGTGCCTCGGCTTCTTTGATCTGTACAATACTTTCCAAGATATCTACATCATCTTTCTTCAATCGTTTCACGGACCATTCATCTTCAATCGTTTTGGTCGGTGTGAAAGAAGAATTAACATTATGTGGACAATGATCAGCAGGCCTCATATCTTTTCGTCCGCTTGAAGAGCTCACGTCATAGAAGGAAAATTTGGGAATAAGGGAGGTAGATGCAGGATATAGTAACTGCATGTTTCCTAAGACTACGAGCCAGATTATTGAAGTCTGTTGCAGGAAAATTAAAAGGAGGAAAGTCCGACAAGCCATTGCTGCCTGTTAATTACAGAAAATCAAAATTAGTAAGATAATCGATATACTTGTGTAAATGAAAAACAAGAAGTGGAAGCTGTAAGAAATGCAATTCTTGAGAATGAAAAACATTCAACAGGCTTTTAAGTAGGAAAATAGAATATGCAAAGTGCAACTAGGATATAAATCATTCTAAAATGTACAAACACCATGAACAATTTACACCCATAGACTATAGGTTTCTTGAAGACTATGAACACCCGAATAAATATTTAATGAAGAGAGATCATATCATAAGACATAAATGAGGGTAAAATAGTCAAAAAAAAAACATGTTTTCTTAAGGGGCATGTAAAAGAGAAACAAGACAGATAATTTGAGTCGGAGGGAGTATTACACAAATTACCCCTTAATAGGAAACAAGATTTGACATTTTTCTGAAGGCTAACGAACTCATATTTCCTTTCAGGTGTTGTATTCTTTTTGTTGATTCAACTGTTTCTTCAGCAAGATGTTGCACAATCTGAGCCATTTTCCATTGCCTAGAAAGCTCATGTGCTCTTCCTCCATCCCTCTCCAAACATTTCAAATATCCCAAGCCTCTTCACCTTTGAATACTATTCCTACATGTTAACCATTCGACTGCCAAGACTAAAAGTTCCACCAAGATGGTTTTGACAATGCACCATCACCAATTGGACTTAACCAGCTAAACGGATCGATTACTTCCTTCTCCATAATTCTCTGCAAAAACGGATGAGAAAACAAGCATGACAAAGGAACTACCATAAAATCATTGGAACTAGTAGCCCCTTGTATTGTTCTTTGATAGTTCTAGTAACTGTATGCTCCTCCTAGGCCATAAATTGGCTGGAAGGTCACCTTCTCGAACCCGGTTCAAACCGGCTAAGGAGAGGAACATCAGGCATTGCTAAAGAGAAGGCAAGTTTCAATTTTTATCTTCTTATATCTGTTTTCTACTTCATGTTCAACCTCTATTTTACAACTATTCAATTTTTCAACAAATTTGTACTTTTCTTCAAAACCCAACTTGGAATTTTAACAAAGATAGCTTAGAATTAGCTCTTGACTGCCTAAAGTTTCAATCTTTTCCATTTCTGATACTGATTTCTCAAGAAAATGAATACCCTTTTCTTGATTCTCTATATTCTATACATTTTTTTTCCTCAGATTCACTGTTTTCACTTCAATTTTCCTTCTCATTAATCATTATATTTATGGAACTAGAAAAATTAAAATTTGCAGAGAGATTAAAAAACTTACAGATTGGAAGGAACAGCTTCAGAAATTTGTCCATCCGATAAAAAACTCTGCATAAATTTCGGTATATATCCCTCAACTTTGAATAATAGATAATTAAAAAAAAATCCTTTTTTTTTATATATTTTTCAATTTCTATCTGTATAAATATAACCAGTAAAATTGAAAGAAAACTCGTATTAGAAATGCAAAACAACAGTTTTCTAATACTCAAATATAAGATTTTAAAATTTTTTAAAATCCAAATAGATAAATTGCATGTTTTTATTAATCCATTTTATAATTGGTTCTATAGTTTTTTTTCTTCTAATTAATTTCCACTACTACTTTATTCTTTTATATACTTGATTTTGTGGCATTGTCATAAAACATAGGGATAGAAGTGTGCATTATATTTAAGATAGAAAAAATTCAATTATATTTCTTAATTGAACTTTATATGTGATATCTTTTTGGTTTCTAATATATATATATATGGTATATAATATAAATTATTAAATAAGGAAACTTATAAATATAAGTTGATCCAATATTGATGTTTGCAACAAATTTTATAGTGACAAAAAATAAATTGCAATCCCAAAAAAATATGATGAAACAATAATATTTTATTAATAAATAGTTCATGTACAATTTGCTCCTTCCTTGATTTTTCCTTCACAACATTTATCACTGATTAGAATATCATTAGTGATGTATTTCTCGAACTATGATTATTTGAATTTGATTATTTGAATTTGCGGAATATTCGAGATGGCTCCAAGAATTCTAACTGTAATCGAATACATCAAGTAGAGTTTCAACTTGAATCGAACACGTCTTTCAGAGTTGGAGTTGCATTGTTAAATAAGGAAACTTATTATAAGTTAAATCCAATACTAAATCGGACTTGCACTAATTAATCGTAACCAATTAAGGATGGGAAAGTTTTTATTTTCCATTATATATATCAATGAAAAATCCCTAATGTTCTTCTTATTGTTGTAATTAAATTCAATTTTGTAATAATGGACAAAATTAATGAGTATTGGAAGGCAACAAACAAGAATATGATGGATTACTTGGTGCGATACAATTAATAAGCCTTTTCCTCATAAGCATACTATTATGAAAGTCGATGATATTTATGGAATCACATTGTTTACTCCATCGCAAATTTTTCAATCTATGGAAGAACCGAAAAATCGATCCAATTTTCGATCCTAACAAGAGACTTATGGGGTACGTTAAAATTTCATGGTGGTACTATTATTGTGGTGAAAAGAAGAAGAGGATGAGAAAGAGTGAGTGGCATATGAGAGAATATTATGTCGTGCCTAAAATTAATTTTCGATGCAACGTTGAGAAAAAAGGCGTTATATTTGTCATGATGTTTAAGAATCAGAAACGAAAACGTAATACGAATGATAATGATAATAATAATGATCAAGATGATGAGATGCAGATTGTTCAATCTCCACAAGGAGTTCAACTTGATGATCATCAAGACTTAGTTGCTAATCAGATTACTCAATCTTTACAAGGCATTCACCTTTAAGATTATTGAGATTATTGCTTATTGGTTGTGTAATTTGTCATATTTAAAATTAAATGTATTACATAATTTTTAAGAATAAGTTGTCTGTTCGCAAAAATACATCGTCATTATTGTTGTTTCACTAAGAGGAAAAAAGAAATTGTTTTATGCATATGAATGGTCAAATTTGTTTGAGGGTACATTAATCAACATTCATGTTATATACATAAAAATAATTCTAACCTTATATATACAGTATAATTTTCCTATTAACGGGGTCGCATGAACCACCTTTTGTCGCTATAGCTCCGCCCCTGATTGGACTAACAAGAAAGTAAGTATATACAGAGGATATAAGGTATCAATAGTATCACAAAAATGTGAAAAAATTCCTTATGATCTTGTACAAGTTTATATATAAACAAAGTTACTATGAATTAAGCACATTTCAGGAATAAAAAGAGTCTAAAGCGATAAAACTCGAAATCTCAATTCAATCTAAGACATTCAATCAATCTCCCTGTACAATACAACGTGGATTTAACACAACGTAACATCGCGTTTTTCTTTTTTCGGAAAAGGAGGATGTCGAAATAGATATAGAAATGTGAATGGCAACAGTGTCACAGTTTCAAATTAAGGTCTGGCAATGATGGTTGTGTTTTAGGTGGTGGAGCCATTGGTACAAAATTTATGTTGGACCTCTGACCTGAATTAAGCACGACGTTGCTACCAACCCCGTCAACTTGGCGGAAGCTCCCGGGCCAAAACATCTCCATGTCATCATCCTCCATGTATACTGGCACCCCGAAATAGCCCTGTTCGAATCTTGCCCCGCCTCTAATAGCATGCATATGTCTTTCTTGTTGTTGTGAGGCATGTTGATGCATGGAGGCATGAGCTTCGATGCCAAGAGATCGATATGGGGAGCCGTGAAGGGGGAGCGATGCCAAGCTAGCGTACCTCTCTGATAGCATTCCCATCCGCATCGCCCTCTTTGCTAGAGTCCTCTCCCTCTTATGTGCATTTTGATGTCCTCCCAAAGCTTGTGAACTATAAAACTTGCGCCTACAAAAGTTGCACGAGAATATCCTCGATACTTGTGCAGCTGGAGGATGAGGCACTACTTCACTGCCAGCCTCGGGATTTCCCTTCGACTCGGGATCAGCACCGCTGTTGAAGCCAAGAGTCAAGTCAAGTGTAACCAGTTTCGACTCCTGCTGAAGATTGAGAGAGTTTGTCAGACAGGACGAATTGGTCGTGCTGTCCTTGTAAGGATCAGGAGAAACTTCTTGGGTAGAAGTGTTGGAGGCAACTTGGCTACTGCTGACTTCGGACTCGTCTTCCGATTCAAGATTGAAATTTGGTGGCTTCATGCTGCTCCGGAAAAAACGCAGTGCAGATTTGATACTTAGGTAACAATAGGTCGAAAAATAACTACGCGGTGATGACTTCCGGTCCTTGACTAACCTACAGGTATACAGAGAAGTAAATCATTTTCTGAATGACAAAATAACCTCCTCTGCCATGTGTTGGATAGCAGAACTCATGGCAGAACCGGAATTTACCAATAGAGTTCAACATATAAAAAAGTAAACACACGAAGAAGTCAAAGGAGTATAAGAAGTACACGAGAGTATTCACGAGGTACTTAAGCAAACCAAAGACAGAGTATAAGTAAATTATAATGTAATCAAGTTCCGAGTTCGGACAAGCAAAACATGTATTTCTCTTCAGACTAGTACCTAGAAGGTTAGAAAGGTGCTCCAACGACCATCTCAGAAAGCCAGAAAACTTGTTCATTCTTATCTTTTACTTCAATCATCACCTCTAAAGTCTGAACTAGCAACAAAATGTTTATCGATGTCCTAGACTACAGTTTACGAGACCTCAAACAAAGCTTAAAGACGTGTTTTTAGATTATCACACTCTACTCAAATCTTCAAGAATGCATAAAATAGAAGCGGACAAGTTCCCTACGTATCAGAAAAGGAAAAAAAACAGTCTGCTTTATGTTAAGGTTATGATGTTAACATAACATTACAGAAGGCCTGCAAGTTAATTACCTATGCTTTGTCGTAAGCTTAACATATTAATAGCATGAAATTCGCTCCGATAAATAGTTTTTTTACTCCAAATATTCTTGAACTCCAACCAACTGTGAGCTCATTAGTAAGCAAATCTCATTAGTTCTACTTTTCCAAGAAAGATTTCAAAAAATTGCCAAGACAACGAGAGAACCTTACAATGATGCATCTTGAACCTTCTAAAACAATCCAACGACGCTAAAAAATATTTCGGTCAAAATTCCAGCTAAACTGCATCCACTTGTTCTGTGTTACTCAAGAAATTAAACGAGATGCATAACAATCTGTAAACTATTTGCTTTAAGCATGAAAGTTTAAGGATAACGGTAGGTTGGTGGCTAACACCAATTCGATCAAACCCCCGTCCGGGAGGAATGTACCTCATCCCAAAATGAACACATACTTACTCTTATCTCGTAGAGATAGAGAAGTTATTTCCGAAAGACTCTCAGCTCAAGTACAACAAATCAACTAATCTAATCTCAATATTACAAAGAATCTAAAAACTTCTATTATTGACTAAATTTTTTTAAAAAAGGTTAGAAACTTTACTAGCTCAATTGTCTTCTTCAATCCAATCAATTTTGTTTTCATTCTAGTGGGATCTTATCAAAGTACATCTCAAGTTAACTATATCAGAGTTCAAAATTCAGTACAAAAATGAAGAATTTAATGAAAATAAAAACAATAGTTCATTTTTCCCCCTTCGCTGAATATTTGTAAAAACAGAATTTGCCCACAAACACAAATAGTGTATGAGAGTAACGTGTACACAGACCTTACCTCTACTTGGGGAACTAGAGATATTGTTTTCGATAGAAGAAGTCTAAAGAACTAGTAATAACATATATAAGATCCCAAATTGATTAAAATCATATAAACAAGAACCATATACAAACTAGAAACAACTACATATGTCATATCCACAAAAATTAAGCAAAAAAAAAAAAATCCAAATTTTACAAACAAATTAATATTAAAGTCAAAACAAGTATATACACTTCTAGGGGGAAAAAATCAAGAAAATAAAAGGGAAATATCAAATCTTGAAAAAAAAACATACCTTTTTTTTTCTTTTTTAATTTTATTGATGAATTTTTCAATGATATGACAAGTCTTGTTGTTGTTCTTCTTTGTGTGTATTTTTAGCTTTTACTAAATATGGTGAGGCAGAATTATAAGAGATAACAGAAAAGAGGAAAAAAAAAATAGAAGGAGATAAGATCATTAGATATAGAGAGAGAGAGAGAAAAAAAAATGGTGGGATGTCAGAGAAAGTCAGAAAAGAAATGAGATATAATACATACTGATTAGTTAGTACTATACACTATTTTTGTTGTTCATAATCATAGCTGAAAAAGGCATTTAACAATAAAGACAGAGGAAAGAGTTGTGGGGTTGGGTGGGTGGGGTGGGGAAAATAGTGTTGGTAGGAAAATAAGTTTGTATTTGTTCGGACATAAAAATTGTG